AATTACCAGTGGAAAAAAATCTCCTTTGGGAGGCCCCCAGATTTGGTTCTAAGACTTTTGGCACATGAATTAGTGCAACACAACGGAGTCCTGAGGCTCCGCGGAAACCGCGTCAACGGGAGTGCCTGCGAAACAGGCGATGGATAAAGAGCTCAGCGTCTCTCGGGTGGGTTCATTAAAGAGGGAAAACAATCACAGCTCATCCGGTGCAATTTACATGCCAGGTGTGCAGCTGTCGCCGGGTGCCAGGAAAACTGACAAGGGTCCCTTCCCACAACACACGGGCTGAGAGGGACGCACGGGGGTGACCAGAAAGTCTTAGATAATGACAGGTCCTGGCAGATGTGCCGGGGACCCCGCTGGAGGGAAGTGCAGCGTCTGAGTCTTCTGCACAGGTGCTGCGACAGGGAAGGCCTCCCAGCGGCTCTAACACCAGCAATTACAGCGGCCTAATGCGGAGCACTGCAGGGCAGAAATCTGGGGAAAGCTGCCCGGCTCTGACTTAATGAATCAAGCCTGTGTAAACAAACAGCGTTCCCGGGCTCATGCCTGATTCATGAAGGACACACTGCGTGCGTGCGCTCAACGTGCTAAGTAGCTAGTTGCTCCCCTTAAAACCATGTCATTTTCATTTCTTCAGTGGTTTGTTGCTGCTGTTTCCAAGCATGGAAAATGGAAAGGTCATCTCTCAACAAATGTGCAGCATGAACAATGGGAAACAGCCTGGAATAAGATTCGACTTTTTCCCGGAGGGCATGTGACCTTTTGTCAACACCCCCGAATCACACCAGACATTTCAAGGACAGATGCCATTAAGTGCATTACTAATTGAAGACAGGTTGGTCCAAGAGGCTGATGGTAACAGGGGAGGACTCTCCAGAGCTTGCCACATCCCCACAAACCCGGTAAGGATTTGCAAGGATTTTTTGTTTTAGTAGGCTTACCAGACCTAAAATTACTGAATTTCTGTGAGCCTGTGGGCTTCCATTTATGGCTGAATTTGAACCCTGACTCCCCTCTTCTGCTGCACACTGTTAGCTGAAGTGTCCACGGTTATTTGTCAGAAAGAATAGTTTCCATCAAAAATATCAACAGTGGCCACCCTGTATGGGACGGGTCCAAGTGCCTGATGGAAGGAACAGAGACCACCACTGCCTGGCCTTTTTATTTGCTATTGTTCCAAGGCAGGTAACTCGGAATGAAACTTGCATTCCAGCAAAAGGTGCCATGTCCAACAGACAGTGGGCTTTGGTGTTTGAAGCTTTTTTACTATAGTAATTTTATAGCGCAATCTCCCTTTGACCTGTTAGCCAAAGACCATGCTGTCCTGATTTTTCCTTAAAGGAAGAGGGTTTATCGTATGAAAACAGCTCACCTCTAGTTGAGACAGGCTGGGACCTGGGACCCTTTGTTGCAGTGCTTGCACCTGGACACACGTCTCTTCAAGCAACAAAATACAAAGAAACTATAAGGGACTAAAAAATAACTGCGTGCATGCACAGTTGGGGCAAATTCTGGACAAAAGATACAAAAAGACAACTGCCACTTGTGAAGAGCCAGGAGCAAAAACAGGGCACATGCCCCCTGCACACGCCACCACCAAAGGGGTGGGCAAACCCCCTAAGCCACGCCTCCGGCCTGACCCCTGGACACACCCCTACCCTCACCCCATACAAGGAACCAGCTTGCCCTGCCTCGGGAATAAGCATGGGAACCTGTTGCTTGTTTTCGCTTCCCCCTGCTGCAACACAGGCCCCAATAAAGCCTGGCCTGAATTTCTTGTCTGGCCTCTTATCAATCTCTATTGATTAAGGAGGCCAAGAACCCTGGTTGGTAACACAGTCACTGAGTCCTGAGATAGCACACTTTGGAATTTCAAATAAGCAAAAAATACACGTGTGCCTTCTTTATTTAAAAAAAATCCAGTAGTAGTTGTTATTTTTAATAATTATCTACTTTTCAAAATAATTTATCTTGGGATTATTTTAAGTGAGCTCTGATGCAAATATGTAAAATCTGGTAAATAACTTTCAAGGAATACAGTTATTGGGAAAGCAAAGCAGTGCAAAGCAGTCTCCACATCTCTCTTGCTCCTTATCATACCAGGGGCAGTCAACAAGTATTTGTGAGATGAGTGAAGATTCAGGATGAATCATACATTTCAGGGGAAGAAACAGATAAAATATTTAGCTTAGCTGTTTCACAGTTAACCTAGCAGATGCTAACTAATCTCTAACAATAAGAGGGAAGAATTCGCATTCATTCACTTTGTTGGGCATTTCCTGAGTGCCAGGAGGGAGAGACCAACAATTTGTAAGGTGGTCTCCTCCCTGAAAGGAGCTTGCTTTCTGGTGCAGTTGAATTTTTTTTTTTTTTTCCTCCAGTGGTCATTACTGCTTTCATAGCAAAATACTGATTTGGGGTGAAAAAAGGTAATTTATAGATATCACTGTAGGTCTTAGCTTTGCTGGAGAAAATGTAAGGGTTACATTAATATCTATGTTTACGTAGTCCTCGGAATGGGGTGGGAACTTCTCTAACCACCTGACACGTAGAAACTCATTTAATCTTTACAAGATCCCTATGAAGCAGGTGCTATGACATCTCCACCGCCCACGTGAGGGGTTGGTGGTGGGGAGCTCAGCGACTCCCCCCACCCCCTACTTCCAGCCAGCTCCCCTGCTCTCGATGTCTCCCAGGAGACAGGGAATTGAGAGACGGAAATGGTTTTTACACTGTTAGTATGTAAACTAGTGCTTTGTAAGCTTTTCTACTTTACATAAGGGGCCCATAGCTTCTCCCCACTTGTCTTGTCACTTTACTAATATCCTTTATTCTACAAAAAATTTTACATTTTAATAGTCAATTTTCCCCATCCTTTTCTTAGCGTGTTGAGCTTTTGGTATATTTGAAACACCCTTAAAACAAAGGCCATAAATATTTTCCCCATATTTCCTTCTTAAAGTTTTAAAGTGTTTAAAACTTTTGGTCTTTATTTAGTATTCATTTATGGGCTTTTTTTTTTTTTTAGTCCACATGAATAATCAAATGTCCCAGTTCAATTGATGGAAAAGCTCATGCTTTTCCCACTAATTACACATTTTCCCACGAATGCCTACATCAACATCTGGGCTCTCTTTTTTGATCTGTTGGTGTATTTATTTCTTCCTAGTTTGTGGTATCTATAATTTTCCCTTTTGCTATGTCCCTTTCTGGTTTTTATATCAAGGTTATACTCGCCTCTTAAAGTGGGGCAGTAGTCTTTCTTTTTCTCTTCTCCGAATAGTTTTTATAAGATTTGAATTACCCATTCCTTGACTATTTAGCAGAATACACCCATAATACGTTTGGGACTAGTGCTTTTCCATGGGTCACTTTTTTTTTTTTTTTGCGGTACGCGGGCCTCTCACTGTTGTGGCCTCTCCCGTTGCGGAGCACAGGCTCCGGACGCGCAGGCTCAGCGGCCACGGCTCACGGGCCCAGCCGCTCCGCGGCATGTGGGATCTTCCCGGGCCGGGGCACGAACCCGTGTCCCCTGCATCGGCAGGAGGAGTTTCAACCACTGCGCCACCAGGGAAGCCCCCCTCCCACTTCTTAATGTCTCTCTTCTTCCCGGTTTGTGCTTCCTGTGATACCTTCTGAAAATCCATTTTTTTAAACAGATGTATTGAAGAAGTATGTGATGTACAAAAAAGCTCATGTGCACAATTTGATGGGTTTTGACACATGCAGATATCCTTGGTACCTTGGTACCTTGGTACCATCACTACAACCAAGGTTATAGACAATATCCACCAACTCCTGTGGTTTCCTGTGTGCCTTTGTTCTTGGTGCATGCCTGTGCGCGCGCGTGTGTGTGTGTGTGCGTATTAAGAGCACTTATCGTGAGGTCTACCCTCTTAACAAATCAAGTATGCGATGCCTATCGTTGACTACAAGTACACTTTGTACAGCAGATCTCTAGGACTTGTTCATCTGGCGTAACTGAAACCTCATACCCACTGAACATCAAGCCCCCACCTCTCCCTCCCTGCAACCCTTGGCAACCACTCTTGTACTTTCTGCTTCTAAGAATTCGACTGTTCTCCATCATTCCTATGAGTGGAACTGCGCAGTCTGTATCCTTCTGTGACTGGCTTATTTCACCTGGCGTGATGTCCTCCAGGTGCATCTGTGTTGTAAATGGCAGGATTTCCTTTCTTTTTAAGGCCGACAGCTAATCTTAAGAAACAACCCCTTTATGGTTTCTGCCCCGATATCTCAATTCAAGGCTAATCTCTAGGCTGAGGGTAGATCTCACAATGTCAACCTCTCTAAGAAGTCCTCCAGCAGAACCATAGAATTGGGACCACTATTCAACAAAGCAGTTGCACCCTGTGTATCTTCTCGTTTTAAAATTTCCCTTTGGAAAGAATCCTGTAGCATCCCACGACCGAGATCTTAATTACTTAAGAAATTCCTGGTTAAATAAAAATAGCTCCCCCGTAGTCAATACAGATGAAGTAACCCAAGACCTTGGGGTGGCGGGGGGATGGGTGGGGGTGGGGAGGGGGTCGGAGTGTGGTCTCCACTTTACAGGTCGGGAAAGGGAGGAAAGGAAAATCTAAGCGAGAGGAGATGCTGGATTTCTAAGCCCAGGATTGACTCCAGGCCTGCTGGCTGTTCTCAGAGTGGATTTCCCAGAGGTGGGGAATGCAGTCCTGTCTCCTGGGGCCTCCCGTTGTGTTCTGAAACCCAACAACCAGCATGCATGCTTTGTCGTGTTTTTGTGTTGTTGTGCGCTCAATATAGCCGGATAACAACTGCTTTTAAATCTTGAGTGCCTTTTCTGTCTGTTGCTATCACAACAAATGAAAGCAATTCAGGTTCTGTTTACTGATCATTTATAAGCAAGCGAGAGGAGGAGCCGTGGTAGTTGATATTTTTTGGAAGGACACACACTGCTTCCAGAGCTGGCTAAGCAAGGAACAAATGACCAGCAGGCGGAGAGGACCACTTACCCTCCCCACTTCCACCAGGTTAGTCACCATGATGATGCTCGCTGTGTTTTCATGCCACACCATCCTCCAGAAGTCATAGATGGTCTCTTGCATTGGTCCTGCAGCAAAACACAGCAGAGACTTTTGTTTTCTTTGTGAGTTTGCAACTGGAAAATTTCTGGGGCTTGCAAAGAAATCTATGGACGGCCACAGGCAGTCCCCTTACTTTTCTAGGTGGACAGAGCTCTCCTTCTAGTGTTGATGCGAGAGGGTATTCTTCCTAAAACGACACCCTTAGAAATACTGAATTTTTCACTCATGGTTGAATTTTCTCGTGTCATCCAGTGTATCTGCATTTGAGCTCTTTTGCCCTTCTTAAATGACTGCCGTGAAAGAAAGTTATTTCTTCATCATTTAGCTATTTATCTCCATAATACTCAAGAGTGAAATTTAAAAAAAGAAATGGGTACCATTACTCTTCCTGCTAACGACTGGCAGATATACCGGGAAACGGTATATAGAACGAAATGAGCATCTATAGGAAAAATGGCCTTTTCTTGTTTCTAATATTTTTCTTATTCTGTGCTGTCAAATTAATCCTTTTTAAAAATTTCGCCTGACTCCTTCAAGGAAGAGAGGAGTTGGATTCAAGCAGTTGTACTTCCTGTCACTGAACGTGACCGGGATCTGCTGCCCCAGCTTTTGGGATCTTAGTATTCAAAAGCTCTTTTTATGGACTGGGAAAAAAAGAGGGAAAATATGGGTTACAAAATGCCAGTGCTATAGATACTGTATAGGTACGGAAAGCTGGAACTTAAACTTTCTTTTAATGCAGATTTTTTAAAAACCCAAACTCGACTTTATGCCCATGCATGTTTGAGGGTCTACATGTAACAGCATAAATCTTTATACGACCAGCAGACATGTGAGGACAGGAGAGAAAGACAACTTCAAAGGCGTGGAGAGTCACGTTACACGGGGACTCAGATGAGCATTTAGGGATGGGTCGGGACAGCTGTGCTGCTGTATCTGGACACTGCAGATCACTCGGTCTGGAGCTCAAACATGTGAACTTGAGATCTGCCTCTGGCTCTGAACTGGCTGTGTGATTTGGGGCAAGTTACTTGGGCCACTGAGACCTTTAGTGTCTGCATCTCTCTTTATCTACATACTGATTTCAGGAACACGTCTCAGGGTTATTTTAAGGATTCGTGGAATGAACGCACACTTAGGCATTTTACACACAGCCAAGTGTCAGAGCAAAACAAGGTGCCTTTACCTTAAAATATTATAAGAAACGGAGGGAGATAAATTGGAGGTATATTTAAAGCAATTTGGGCTATAAGTTGATCAATTTTAAGCCAGGTGATGGTTACATGAAGATTCATTATACAATTCTGTCGACTTTTGTACATATTTGAAATTTTCTATGACAAGTCTTTTTTTTTTTTTAAAGAGATATATTATCATTGAGTGTAGAATTTGATCAGTAAAAACAGAAAGCTTTCTCCGTAAATTATTTTGCAGAAATCAGTAGGTTAAGCCATAGGTTAGGAAGAACTTGTAGCCTTCATTTGCCTTATAAAATGAACATTAAGGAATTTAACTCAAACCTTCTAAAGCCCAAGGTAATAAAAGAGTTGAAACTGCAAAAACAAAGACCAAAACCAAAACAAAAAAAAACAAGGTGCATTTAAAGATATTTATTAATGGTCACTCATTGGCTGAGCAATGGGGGCACAGCCGGGGGCCCCTTCAGTCACCTCCCCTTCCTGTTGACCAATTACCAGTTGGCTCCTGTGTACTTTTTCGTCTTCCTCACTGTCAAGCCTCATTCCCTCCTCCCTGGAATGCAAACATCTATCGTTCCTCCTGCTGCCATGGCTACACTCTTCCCCTCCCCGTGAGAACCCCCCCCAACTGCTGAGCCTCTGCGTCGAGTCCCCTTATGGAACCTTGCACACTGCCCACCATGAAGCTGCACCTGCCATTTGGCCCCGTCCCTTGGCATGTGCGTGCCATTCTCCTGATGCATAGGCTGAAGACTTCAGTGACTTTAGTCAAGGTTACAGGGGGCACAAGTAAACATCGGATTCCATCAATCACTATGCTTCTAGCTTTCAGGGAGAGAGGTGCCTCCGTTGTGTACTTAACAGCTTGTTACTTACTCACAAGGAAAAAACACCCTGAGTCCATCTTTGTGCAAACAGATAGCCTTCCCAATGTGACCCTGAAACACAGGGCTGACACTTTCTGCTTCCTTCGCTAGATGCACAGGCCTGTGCCACCTAGTCTGAAACTTCTAGAAACAGTTCTGATGACAAGGGCTACCGTGGATGAATCAGATGTCCCAGCATGGCGGAAGGCGAGTGCCTTCAGGGAGAAAGCCCCCTCTCCCATCTATGCCCAACAGAGACATTCACGGCTGGGGGCAAGTTCCCAGGTACAACTCACTTGCCCTTTCTTGGCTTCAGACCCTGTTGTGATGACTTGTCTCAAGTTCCGGGGGGCGGGGGCGGGTGGGAAATGTGGCTGTCGTGGTTTAATGCCCTTTCCTTAGTGCCTGTGGCACACCCAGCACATGGCAGTTCAATGAATAACTGAATGAATGAATAAGTCTGTATGCATCAGGATAAACCACATTATTTACTATTATACTGTTATATTAAATATAAAAATATTAAGTAATGTTAATAGATAATATGAGTCCGTTTCTTGACGTATTTCAGAGATTATCTGTAGAAGCTAGAAAGCACATTGCCTTTACTCCTTCCCGATTCATAGACGGGGGGCATCTTTTGCAGAAGCCTCTTCAGAATGAGCGTGATGGTCACACAGTCCACAGAGCGCCGCCAGGCAGTGCTGCAGGAGCTGGTCCCAACCACTAAGCAGGTGGCTCCTCTGAGGCCCCCTGCCCCGAGGCTTTGCCTCCGATCTTAACTCAACCCATGATCCGGAGCCAGAGTGTGATCCTGGCTTCCACTAACTGTTCTCCATCGAAGGCAGTGGTTCATATTACATTTTACATATTACATATGTAATATGTAATATTACAATTACTGTGAAGCTTCTAAACAATTCTGATGTCCTAACCCAAGAGACTCTGCATTTATTGGCCGGGGCCGGGGGCTGGGTCTCCTGGGGAAGGACCACAGATCTTCAGCATCGGGGCATTCGGCTGCACCTCTGACCTGTCACGTGGTCTCCTATGGAGGTGGAACTGTGGAACACCCAAGATTTGTAGGTTTTGAATCTACTGAATAGTCTAAGCCGTATACAAGCTCTTTGAATCAAGAAATCCCAATTCTTTCTGATTTAGAAGGAACTTCCCTCATAAAACATTATCTGGGAACATGGCTGTGCCATTTTACTGAGGGGCAAAGCGGTAGTTAAGGTGACACAAGTTTTTTAATGTTTACTTAACATTTGGGTTTGGGTTATCTTTAAAATAAAGGGCATTTATAAGAATTAGAGGCTCACTTGGGTGATGACAATGATCACTAAATCATCATTTAGTCTTGATCATTTTCTTACCCATTGACCTGGACTAAAAAAAAAAAAAAAAAAAAAGATCAGGAGAGAAGAATGCATTAGGTGAGGGTCTTTTTAGTGCTAAAATTAGGACAGGTATCCAGAAGAACTAAAACAGTTTGGGGCTAAGATCTGAAAATGAATTTGAACACAAAGATTATTCTAAGTTGATCTGAGAAAGAAAAACATTGGTGCTAGAAAAGGTCCCCCAGCCTCCTTCCTGGGTGGCACCATGTGCTGTTGGATGTGAGCGTGGTCCCCTCCTGTACACCACTCAGCTCCTCCCACACCTGGGGCAATTCAATGATGAAGCTGCTCAGGGTGGGTACTGGAGAGTCTTATCTTGGCTGACGATTCAAGATATTTTCATGAATGTTCATTGAAATCTTGTTTTTTTTTTTTTTTTGGGGGGGAAACCCGGAAAAAGGAGGGAACCCAAAGGTAAGGTTTTTTTTTTTTTTTTTTTTTTTCAATATGTGGGCCTCTCACTGTCGTGGCCTTTCCCGTTGCCGGACGCGCAAGCTCAGCGGCCATGGCTCACGGGCCCAGCCGCTCCGCGGCATGTGGGATCCTCCCGGACCGGGGCACGAACCCGTATCCCCTGCATCGGCAGGCGGACTCTCAACCACTGCGCCACCAGGGAGGCCCCCAAAGGTAAGGTTTTTAATGCAAAATTTGTCAATCCTGTTTTCCTTTTCTCTTCAACATATTTCAAATTATTTCCGGAGACCCGAATACATTATGATTCAGAGATACACATCTCCAAACAAAATCAAAAAGCACACTGGAGGCTGGGGCGGGGTGACCTCACTGACACCATGTGGTTTTAGCAGCTCCTGATGGCGTCGGATGACTGTGGCCATTGTGAGCCAACACCGAGAGTCTCCAGATGCGTGCCTGGTACACAGGGCGCTTACTCTCAGTCCCATACCGTCGCTGGGCTGAAACGGGGGGAGGACCACCTGAGGAGGACCACCTGGGGGGGGCCAGGGATGTATTCCTAGCCTTTGATGTCTGTCTCCCAAAAGCTGGAAAACACCCTCAGCATGGGGAGAATAATCCATGGAGAGGTCACTGGAGATTGCTCTCAGGGTGGACAAACAGCTAAGCTCCTAGGACAAGGAAACAGCAGGCAAAGGATGCTGAGAACCCCGCTCCCTCTGGCATGAATGGCTGCAATGACAGCCCCGGAAGGTATCTGATTTCTGCAGTTGCTGGCTGGGTGCGAGCCCCATGATCACTGTGGCCGTGCGTTTACAGATGTTGGCACACTAGGTGGGAAGGTTATTCTCAGCAGCTGTCCCTGGGGGACTGAAGCGTTTAAAAGGTAAGGTCCTGAAATTTCAATAGCATCGGGCCAGGACCACATCCCACTTCCCTGGTGATCGTCAGCACGCACAGACCTCTCTCTGCTGAGCAGAGACGTGCGGACGGGTGTTCTTACACCACCCAGCCCTGCAGGAGCAGCAACAACAAAGGGCAGAGAGAACTAGAGCAGAATGAAAACAATGAAAAGCCGTGAAAAGGGTAAGTGAAAGACATTCAAGGATGGCTCTATTGTGGAAGACTAGTTCTCTAGTTCATGGGC